TGCATGGGACAATCGGTGGATATCGATGAAAATACAGTGCAAAATATCGAAGCCTTTGTCCGTAGTTTGTATGCAATATCAGCGAAAGGTCCAGCAACAGTTGATGAAGCCCGTTATGTAATGTTTTGTCAAAAATCAAAGAGTAACATGTCACTTCCTCCAACGTCCGACAGTCTTCTGCAGCATATCAAAAGAGCAAATTACCAAACCTACGTGTGGAGAAAAGCTTTAGTTCCAACACAACGATTGCCATCGCCTGAAGGTTACGGCTGGAAGTTTGAAGATAACACGTTATTCCCTCACCTTATGACAAAGCCACCAGCGCCAGCATGCATCTTAGAGCTTACCAATTGCAAGTGCTCTAAGTCTTCATGCACGCAGAATTGCTCTTGCAGCAACAATGGTCTGGCCTGCACTGAGGCGTGTAAGTGTATGGCTGATGAGAAATGCCGTAATCCCAACAAGATGCATTGTTACAACTCAGAAAATGAAGACTCGGAAGATTCAGACAGTTATGAGTGTGCCGATTAAAGACATTAATCGAAAATGCCAAACATGGCTAGGTTCAACTTGCTCGTATATAACTGATTTACCACATGCTAACTTTTTCAAAGATTTCTTGTAAATTTTCTGAGCATAAAAATAAGTTATAAAATAAAGCCAGTTTACTATGTAAATGAATTTGAAAACATACAAATCCATATTAACCAAAGTATCGATTAGTTCTCTTAAAGTGGCTCATTGCTGTTTTAACTTTATAGCGCACAATTCCTTTTACTGTTTATTGTGCAAGGTATGGTCATGAAACTTGGCTGCAACATTGCCACAGTATTGTGCTGTGTGAAAAATGCAAAAACTTATTTCGTTTCTTCGTTGCCATGGTAACAAAGCCATTTTCGAAAGATTGTGTTTTCCATTTTTCTTGGATTCTTTGAAATTATTTAATCGGTTGTGAGCCACCTTAAGTGAAAACTGATACCACATTTCGACTCTACAACATGCCTAGCGTTAATCAGCGATGTTTAATCTACCGGAATTCATTTTCAAACCTTTACTGTGGAACGGGTTGATCGAGATCATTTTCTCCTCAGCCCAGCTCCCGGACTAATGCAGGCGGAAACGCCGAAAGTTTTATTTGTAGGCGGGCACCACATTTTAGTACTGTGTCTGGTTGGTCATAATGTTCTTATTCAAAAACTTGTCGACATCGGAGTTAGGAGATCTTTAATCCCATGGATTGCAAACTTCCTATCAGGGCGAAGCAGTGCGTCAAACTTGGCAACGCTACTTCTAGTTGGCTTCCTGTCAAAGCCGGTATCCCCCAAGGAACGAAATTGGGTCCGATCCTATTCTTAATTATGGTCGATGATTTAAGGCCCTGTTACACGGTGCAATTTTTCATGCAACTTGTCTCGCAATGTTTAAAAAAAGATTTTGATAATGCATTGCAAGAGGTGTTACACGCTGCAATGATTTTCATGCAACTCGCAACGATAGGGGACAGAGGCTGCCTCCTCCGCAGGCCCTCGTTGCGTCATGGGAAGATCACACACAATCTGGCGAGGGCCTGCGTAATTTTGTAAAAAAATAGCGCCGGCGTCACGTCACAGGGTGTTAGCCAGAAGTAAAAAAAATCCGCGTTTACCTGAAATTGGGAAATTTATTTTAGCCTGAAGCCGGGCATTTCTTTGTGGGTCTGGGGGCATGCGGTTGCCCCCTCTCGAGTTTTAAAATTTTTGTGTCTTTGAAATGGCATTTCCCGCATTTTGGGAGTCATTTTGAGCAATTGTAGTTATATAAACATGTTTTTAATGGCGTATTAACAACATTGAATTTCTATAACTATTTTTGGCTGACCCAAATTGGGAAATTGCGACGTCAAGGTAATTGGGAAAACCGCGTTTAACGCGGAATTTTTGACTGTAGCTAACACCCTGCGTCAGCAAGTACATTTATACATAATCTTGAATATAAACAGGCTATAAAAAAGCGGCGTGAAACTTGTAAATTAAAATGGCGACTCTAAGGACATGGAAGGAAGCATTTTTTAACAATAAGGTTTGTTGTCCACACCAACGTTGCACGAATAAAACTGCCTTCTTTAACGAAGCAGGTTTAGAACAACATTTATTCATTTTACAAGATTACGCAGGCCCTCTAGAAATCGTGACCTTCCCATGACACAACGAGGGCCTGCGGAGGAGGCAGGGACAGAGGCATGCGAAGAGACTAGGGAGAGGCGCTATTTGGCGCCAAATTTTAATTTTAGTAAAGCGTGTACTGGGGAGAGCCAATAGGAACTCTCCAAGCTATAAATATTGCGAGACAAGTTGCACGAAGCCATGTTACACGCTGCAATGCTAAAAATAATTAGTGCAATCGTTGCCAAAACTAGAACCGACTTCTACTCTGTGCAATGCTTCATGCAACTTGTCTCGCAAAGATTTTGACCATTGCAAGGCATGTTAAACGGTGCAATGACTCGTGCAACTTGTCTCGCAACGCCATTGCGAGACAAGTTGCATGAAAAATTGCACCGTGTAACAGGGCCTTTACAATGCAGTTCAAGGAAGTCTGGCATTTGGAAATTCGTTGATGATGTTACCCTCTCTGAAGGACTATTAAAAAATTGAGAGCCGTCTTTAATCCAGTCCGATCTAACTTCTGTTGGTGTATGGTCATCTAATAACCTGATGAAATTAAACCCAACGAAATGCAAAGAGATGCCAATTTGCTTCTTTCGCAACAAACCTGATCTGCCAAGTCTCTCTGTTGGAGATCAGGCCTTGGAACTTGTATCATCATACAAAGTCCTTGGTCTGATTATCCAGGATGATTTTCAGTGGAACGAACATATTGCGATGATTGTTACCAAAGCATCCAAGCAACTACATATCCTGCGCGTTCTGCGGGGCGGGGAGGGATTCCACCGCACGACCTCATCACAATTTATTACGCATTGTAAGATCTATTTTAAAATATTGCTGTACAGTATGGCATTGTGGTCTACCTAGGTATTTGTCAGAACAAGTTGAGAAAATTCAAAAACGTGCACTTAGGATTATACTGCCAGGCCGATCTTACAGTGAAGCGCAAGAAATGTTGCAGTGCCCTAGGCTGGATATATGTCGAAGTGAACTTTGTGAGAAAACAATGAAAAAGATTCCGTTACTGTTAGCCGGTCGCCTATCGTGTCTAACCCTGACGAGGGAGAACGAACATGGGTATAGCTTTAAGGAATTTTGAACAATTCTCTTCTTTTAAATGTAGAACTGATAGGTTCGGTAAAAGTTTTTTCCCTAGCATGATCAGTGTCCTAAACAAATAATTGTTCTTAGTTACATAGTTTTTAATTTTAATGATACATTGTAATATGGTTAGATTTTGTTTATAGCTAATTTTTACCCAAATTTTAAAACACATTGAATTCATTTCATGTGATGATGATGTGTTATTAATCGTTAATAATAATTAGTATAGGTAATCACACGGGAAGGAGTGCAATTAGTACAGCTATAATTAATAGCATGGTTTCGAGTGTAATTTGGATAAAACATGCACGAGTGAGTTTTTCAAAGACCTCAAAATAGCACGAGTCCGAAGGACGAGTGCTATTTGAAGTCTTTGAAAAACTCATATGGGATTTTTGTTGTTTTGATTTCCTGCTCCCCCCCCCCCCCCC